AAAAAATTAGCAGCTTCACGTTTTTTCCCTTCATCTGGCCATTCAATTACCATCGGACTCAAGCTGCTTATGAAAATCGTGGTTCGTTCGATGATTCGTGAAACGCTTGACAACGAAATATTAAATCGATCTGATATATCGCGATTACTACAGGCCTCGTGGCCAGCAAACCACAAAAAACCAAAATATGGGTTGCTGCTGGGAAACGTTTGTCAGAGCGCAAGTTTTTGAACATATCGCTTTGTTCGAATCGCATTGTTAAGTTGATGCACAGTTCTTTTGATATGCGAAAGTGTTGTTTAAATTCTAGTTCGGAGTAATTAGGCACTACATCCTCCAAATAGTTCTTTATGTTGTTTCTCTTTTGTTTGCTAAACAATTTCAACACTTCGCTCAAAATTTCATTTTGCTTGCGATTTATTTCTGAAAACGTTATTTCATCGTCACTGGAATCACTTGATTCACCCGATTCACTCGATGTATCCATAAGGTTGGCCACGATTTCAGCTAAACCTTCCGCGCTGCTAGCTTCTTCAGAAGATTGCTGCAATTTAAAATTAAATATACTTATCTATATTTATATGTACATACACATTCTTTTCACATGAATTAACTAAGCAAATGTACTTACTAACTCAGATAATTCATTCCACGTGCCTATAAGATTGGCCCCGATTTCACCTAGAACTTCCGTGCCGCCAGCTTCCTCAGAAACTTGCTGCGATTTAAAATTTTATATGTATTTTCAGCTTATGCACATTTAAACTTTCAAATATACTTACTAACTCACACAATTCTTCATCAATATCCATTTTTCACGTATATTTTATTATTTTCCAATATGTAAATTCGAAATGTATTTTTCTTTTGTTTACAAATGTTTTGTCAAATGCACAACAGCTGATCGTTTGACACATTTACCAGAATTTACCAGCAAAAAATTCTCGGACTAAAACTGGTAACTTCTGACTGAGAGAGGACCTCATTTACTCTCTTTTTTGTCCTCTCAATAGTCAGAGAACCGAGTACCAGTAAAATCTGACTAATTCTGACTATTTCTGACTAGTCCGGACTCGTACGGGATCGCAACTTATGTAGAATCCTAGTTCTTTTATTTGACTTCTCATTTTGGAAATTCGAAATAACGGTGCAGATGTGATGACCTTTAAAAAAAAATAGATGGCAACTCTAATTAAAAATATTATCAGCATATAGTTTTCTTAAAACTCTTTCGTTTGACACTAATATTTCGATATTGCATTTATGTATCTGTCGTATAAGTAAACAAATTCGACTTTTCGAACAGATGGCAACCCCTTTAAAAGTATTTTCAAACAAAAATTTTTCGCCTGGCATTGTTACACATGTTTCAATTTTTGATTTTTTTAAGCACATGGCAACTCTCTTAAATCAAGTTTAGAAATAAATTATTTTCAAACCCATTTCGATTGATACCCATCTTTTGACAATCCATTTAACTTATTAAATAATTTGAGCTTAATTAAAAAAAAAAAAAACCAAATGTTCCGCTTAAAGATTTCTTAACATTCGTTCTTTTGATAACCATATTTTAAAATTTCATGTAACTTATGCATAGTAGTCAAAACAGGCGGCAACCATCTTAAAAATTATTTTCTAACTTAAATTTCATATAACTGATGAATTAAGTGGAAATTTATTTTTCAACACGTGGCAATCCTCCCCAATTTAGTTCTTAAATAAAGGATTTTAAACCCATTTGCATTTATACCCATCGGTTAGTAACTTATTTAACTTATTAAATTATTTTAGTTTATATAATAGATAATTTGCATTTAACTTTTTACACAGGTGGCAACCCTCCTCAAACTCATAAAATATATTCTCAATGTGCAAACTAAGATTTCGTACCACTTTTTTGGTTTATATCGATAATTGAATTAAATTAGACTTTACGAACAGGTGGCAACCCTACTTAAAATATGTTCAATCTAAAATCTTCTTAAATCTCTTTCGTCTGACACCCATATTGTTATACCCATTTTAATTACCCCATTGCCTTAATTAAAATTGAATTAGGTCGTTTAAACAGGTGGAAACCCTCCTACACGCAGTTAAGAAATAAAGTATTTTCAAAACTACTGCGATTAGTACCCAATTAGCAAATATTGATTTAACTATTTAAACAATTTGAACTTAATTTTTAAACGGGTGGCAGCCCTCTTAAAACACTTTAAAAATATTCTAAACGCTCCAACTAACGATCTCTTGAAATTCATTCGCTTGACATCCATATTTTTATACTTCATATAAATTAGACTTTTCACATAGGTGGCAACCCTCTTCAAAATGTTTACAAACTACTACATACTTAACCTTTATCGTCTGGCACAAATACATATTTCTATTACCTAATTGACCCAATTCAAATTGAATTTGATTTTTTTAACAGGTGGCAACCCTCATAAAGTTAAGTTAAGAAACAAACATTTTCCAAACTATTTCCATTTATGCCCATTTTATAACAATTGGTTTAGTTTTAAAAATAATTTGAACTTAATTTTTTAAATGGTGCCAACTCTTTTCGAAAAAGTTAAACCTTATTGCATACCTACAGCCAGAGCCCTTTGATTTGGCACCTCACTTTTGAAAATCGAACGAACGGTGTGGATCTGCTGACATTGATTACTAAATTATTTGAATGCAATTTTTTATCAGGTGGCAACTCCTTTCGAAAAAATTAAGCTTTATTGCACATCTACACGCCAAGCGCTTTAATTTTGCACCCCAGTTTTGAAAATCTAGCGAACGGTGCAGATCTTTTATGCGGAACAAAAAATGCCTTCGCGTATTATTTTGAACTTAATTTCTTAACAGGTGGCAACTTTTTTCGAAAAAGTAAAACCTTTTTGAACATCCACACTCTAAGCCCTTTAATTTGGTACCTCTATTTTGAAAATCAAACGGACGGTGCGGATCTGAGGGCATTGATTAGCAAATAACTTGAGTTCAATTATTTAACAGGTGGCAATTCTTTTCGAAAAAATAAAGCCTTATTGCACATCTACAGGCCAAGCGCTTTAATTTGACACCCCAATTTTGAAAATCGAGCGAACGGTGCAGATGTTTTAGGCTGCACATAAAATGCCTTCGCGTATTATATATAATAGAAGATAGAAGATAATAGATATCGCAACCATTGGTCCCAATCGTTTTTTTCCACTGAAATATATGAGCGTAAATACTCATTTAAAGTGCCGTGGGTACGCTCTACTGTACCTAGTGATTGATGATGATAAGTGGTGGATGTAATTTTTTGTATTTTTAATAGCTCGCAAATCTCATTTAAAACTCCATTCCTGTATTCTGTGCCCATGTCCGTTATGAGTGCCCCCATAGCAGTGGCGGACCCAGGTAGGGGAAATTGGGGAAATTTCCCTTTCCCCCAAAACTGTGTAACATGTATTTTCATAATATTCAACTGAATATCGTGAACTATCATTACAAGAATATATAACAGGTTTGTCCCACAAGCTACTTGTAGAAAAACTCGAGCAAAGTCCAAATTGTGAGCGCATATCAAAGAAACTCGAAAACTTACTTTCGGAGCGCGTACATGTAACTCGAAGTGACTTCGAGAAGCTTGGGGAACAAACCCAATGAATGGATGCTTTTGAAAATTTTAATTCATGGAAAAAGCGTGTCAAATTTCACTTGAGTTTGAAACTTTAGTTGTGTGTTAAGCTCGAAGTGTTATGTTATTTAAGTAGGCCTATCTGTTCTTCGAATTCACTGAATTTTCAAAATTTTGAAATTATGTACTTAATTTTCAATTTTTACTTTTTTTGTTTTATTTTCGAATTTGTATTATTTTACACAGTTGAAAGTCACAGCAGGTTTGAATATTTTCGCAGGTTTAGAAAACAACGAAAATTCCAAAATTTTGAATTTTATAATATTATTAAATTTCTTGAGATTTCTTATTTTTAGGATAATTTCCAAAATTTCAAAAACTATCGAAATCCGGGAGATTCCAGAATGTTTGTTAAAATGAGAATATTTTGAAATGTACAAAATTATTGAGATTTTAGAAATTTTCTATATTTTCTAAAATTTTGAGAATTTTATTTATCCTGAACTCCATCATAAAATGTAAAAATTTGAAGCATCACAAATTGTTGAAAAATTCTTATGTTCATTTACTTGTGGGTAAAAATAGAAAGTTCTTAGAATTCTAAAAGATATTACCATTTTTGAAAAATTCCAAATTTGTTCCACTCTTCTGGACCTTTCAAAATTTTATATTGATATAATAAAGTTTGACAATTTTAAATTTTTCGAAAATTTTGAAAACATCACGTCCAAGAATTTTTTTAATCTTCAAGAATTACGAAAATCTTTTAAGTTTTCAAAAACGACGAAATATGAAAATGTTTTCAACATTCGAAAACTTTTAATTTCGTTTGATCAATTTTGTATATTCGACACTTTTACTTAGAAAAAATTTGTTAGAATTTCTACAATTCTCAAAATTTTTGAAAAATAAAAAATGTCTAGAAATCTCGTGTATTATATTGAATTATTGGGATTTACTAAAATTTCCCAAACTCACAAAGTTTTGAAAGTTTAGAAAATTTGGGATTTCCACTCAAGTTATTAAAAAGGGGAAATGTCAAGAAATTAAAAACTAACAAAACCCTAAAAATTTTAAACTGCGGTGATTTTTAAATTTATGTACACGATATATGTTGAAAAATTGTTCCGCCCCCAAGAATTGCTGCTGGGTCCGCCCCTGCCTCATAGGGCCATAGACTAAGATCAAGGAATCTGCAATTGCTATTGCTATTGTCTTTGCGTCCTTTTTCGGAACCGGAACTGTTATCAAGTATTTGGTTAGTTCGCAAATAATTGTAACAGCGTATTTATTACCACTCTGCGATTTAGGCAGAGGTCCAACCGTGTCAACGAACACTATTCCAAACGCAGCAGTTGGTGTTGGTGTTATTACTGCGGGTGGTTTGTTGTGTCTTGATATTTTTGCTTTTTGGCAATTCTCACATGACTTTATTCATATATGTTTTTATGTCTTTAGTCATGTATCGCCAGCAGTGTTGCCGCGAATCATTTTTAGTGGTAGCCAAATTCCTTTAAAAAAAGATCTAAAAAAAAGCTAAAAAAAGTCGCTATGGCTAAAAGTGGTAACTAAAATTTTTTACTTACATGTACATATATAAGTATCCACGCAAACATTTTCAATAAGTAATGGTATAGAAAAACAATAAGGGGATTCATCTAAGCGTATAAATGCCTTATAAACTTGGTAAACTTTTAATTTTATCCAGTTTGTAAATGAACTGTCAAATTTTGTGTGAAAAATCGTTTACACAAACTTGGTAAGTTTACGCTCCAATTTCTGCGAATAAACGCGATAAAACGAAGCAAATGCAACCGTGTGAAGGCAGCAGCTGATTCAAGTATTGTGCATGTGTCAAAAAATTAAATCAAACAACAATGGAAGAGGCAAGATTAAATTATATCTGGATAATTTTTGCAAAATGAAATGTAGTCCTGCGTATTTCAGAACACTAAACAAAAATGCAAAAGAAGGAGGGCAAACCCATCTCACCGATGGACAGAACTGGAGACTCTCCACTTAATTCAAGCGGTTGCCGACGAAACAAAAGAGCGGCAGGAATCTTTTGAGGTTTGTACCCAAATGTTTTAAGTTGCTGATTTTCAAACAAGTGAACAAAATCTCGGTAAACAAATGTGAATTGTCTAAATCCTACACTCAGCTTATGTGAAGTCAACTAAATATGAGCCGAGATTGCTGCCACTTACAAACTCCGGCGATTTTGTATTCAACTTCGCAACGTGCACGTTTGTTTGCCG